CACAGGTTGCTTATAACCAAGACGGACCACTGAAAAAGGACAAATGCCAAAGCAATGAAAATAGGTGCAACAATATTAAACGACCAGACCAAACGAAGTACAAGAAAGGATTTTGTTATTTATCCTTGTTTGCCATCTTCAGTAATTGGTTTGTGCCACTGTTTCCTGACAGGCCACTGAAGATGGTAAAATACTAAATCAATGAGGATAAGCACGGCCGTTTCACCCTGCTTATCAATCTGACGGACCGGAAGATGACTTAAAAGTCACATGGATAGACATCATCGCAAACTACCCAACTAAGTACAATAACAATATTTTTCATCCAGGTCTTCCATCTTCAGCAGTGGGTTTGTATTGGTGCCTCATCCTGCTTGAAACCCTAACGGGGACGGGCAACTTACTACCAAAGCATCAAAGATAGGTACAATAAATATAATCTATAAAAGGATTTACATTGTTAAAATGAACAAAAACAAACTATAAACAAAGGGAAACCAACAAAAAAATCCATTGTTTTTGTTTGGGCTAAAAATTCATCGTTTAATTGTAAAACAACGCGTACACATGTAGCAAAGGGAGCTTTTTATAGTAAAATCCCAGTGACTTCTTTTGTTCAGGACAGGGCTTAAATAAAATTGAAGCCGACGTTTTAATACAGAACGACAAAAATATTTACATCAAGGGATGTTGATCAATAAAAAAAAAGAAAAAAAATTAAAAACGAACAAAAAAACGTACAATGACTACAAAAATGTCACGATTTGAAGATATAAAACAACGCGGCTTAATGCGCAGAATTTTTTTCACCCTTTCACTCATACCCTCATTTTTTCCCCACGTGAGAGATACAGTTATTAAAACCTTTGAAATTTACAATATCTCGAAAATATAAATTTCCCTTTTTAAGGTACTACCGCAGAACAAACACAATAACTCGATCGCTCAGAATAAATTTTGGCCAGCCTTTAATTAGAATATGGCGAAGATTTACCACTTGTTATTACGCTTATCACACCTTTGTATATATATATATATATATATATATATATATATATATATATATATATATATAGAGAGAGAGAGAGAGAGAGAGAGAGAAATATATTTTATAATTTCTTTAGCCAGTTAAATTACTAAACGACCTCAGATTACAAGGTTTAGCCGAATCCTGACAGGATCTAATAAATAATTGTGTACAATAGATTTGCATTTTTTCATTAAAAGGAATGATAAAAAATAACTAGTAAAAATGAATGTTCAGTACATATACACAACGTTCTTTCAGTAAATTGAAAATATCGGGATAAAGCAGGTACATCCAATAAAATTTTTTGTATTTTCTAGCAACATATTATTATAAAAAAGAAAACAATGGAATTCCAATATAGTTGAATATATTCATTTATATCTAGTTTATGCTGTTTTAAATGTGAATTTTAAATATATTTTAATGAATCTCTACTATCCCTATGATCTTTGTTGTTTAGTTTTTATTGAAGTCGAAAATCAAATAACGATAGCTCTATTTCTTGTGATATTGTTTTGTTTATCTATCTGTTTGGTGGCTGTTTTGGCCTGACTGATGCTTTTCGCCATCTTCAGTATTTATCGGTGTTTCATCCTATTGATATTCCTGTTATATGAAGCCTAAGTAAGCTTATAGAGTCCGGCTGGGTACCGATTCAGAAATTAAAGTGTGGGTTGTCACATCCATTGGGTTTTGTGAGTGTCGGTTTTTCAACCTACTTATACCTTGATGACTATGTCTGATGTAGAGGCTTACTGGATTAAGTGACAGAGAAATTGGTCTACTCATAGACTAGGTGGGTTATCACTGGTCTGGTGAGTATGCATCGGTACCTCGGCCTATGTATAACCCCGATATGTGTCAGGCATAGAGACCTGCCCACGCAGCGGCCGTGCAATTAAACTAAGATTATATCGGTAGCTTAACCTGCTTATAACACTGATGCATGTCATGCAGAGACCTGCTGGATTGGATGACAGAAAAATTACCGACTCTTAGCCATTAAATGGTGGGTCGTCACTAGGTTTAGCGAGTTTGAATCGGTTCCTCTACCTACCTTGATAATTATGTCTGGCGTGGAGACCGACTGGATTGTGTGACACAGAAATTGGTCTACTTATATTCTAAATGGTCGGTTGTCACTGGGTCTGCTGAGTTTGAGTCGTAATAAAATTCCTTGATGAACTAGGACTTACCGGTGTGCTTTAAGCACTCTTAAAGGGCGCTGTATAATTCACACTATCACTAGTACATCTATCTATGTGTCGGTGTCTCAACCTGCTTATTTCCCTGATAAATGTCAGTTATGGAGAACTGATATATACAGTGGCATTAGATTGAAATTAAATTCAAATCAAACCGAGTTTTGTCGGTACATCCTACGTCCTGACCAACCATTGAGGATGCTGAAATATCGGACCATTGGACGGGCCAACTACTATGACAGACCAGTATGTTCGAAAATACTGTAAACAATATTTTGACCGAAAATCATAACAAGGTATCATAAACTACCTTCTCTATAAATAGACCCAATAAATGTAACAACATAATAAAGTAGGTTTATTTAAGCGCCGCATTGCTATATCATGAACACACCACTGATAATGCCGAAACGACGGTATTTTGGTATAGACCAACCGACTATAAAGAGAGAGAAAGAGAAAGACACAAAGACCAAAGTAATCCAATACGACCGAGCTTTTTTGCAAAACCGAAACCCAGATTCGCACACAAGATGCGCAACATACAATTACTTTATTATTCTTCATTATGCTAAAATCTAATCTCCAAAATACATTAGTCAAATTGCCTTCGTACAGGCGGTATTATTACGTTGATGTTCGGCCTAATTTTAAGAAAATCACGGTTCTGAGAAGTGCGATATTTTACGTGGGTTACAGGCGTGTGACACGCACCGGGATTCACAGGCCAACATGAACATTGCACGAAATCTCAATGGCAAACAAATCAATTATTTCTGTTGAGTGTGTAGTACTAGATGAATTTAAATAAATTCTGTAATGCAATATTCCAAAGCATCGGTAATGTAAAAATAAATATGCTCGAAAATAAAACAAATATAATATAAGATACAAATACAGGGCGACTATACAGACTGAACTAGAGAGAGAACTATAAAGAGATAGAAAGAGAAAGAGAGAGAGAGAGAGAGAGAGAGAGAGAGAGAGAGAGAGAGAGAGAGAAAGGGAGAGAGAAACATTAGAGAGAATAGGAGGGAGGGAAAAAGGCAAAAACTAAACAGAACTATGGATAGAGGAAATTAAAACATACAAAAATAGTGTGTCATGGATGAAGAAATATACAGTGTGATTGAAAAAGAGATAGAGAAGGAAATGAATGTGATAAACGGAAAAAAGAAGTGAGGGAGAGTGTAAAAGAGAAGAGAAAGAAAAATAAAGTTGAACAGACAAGACAGGATAAGAGGAGAAAATAGGGTGAAAGAAAGAGCGAAGGCGGGAGAGTAGGAGGTACGGACAGGAAGAGAAAGATAAACAGAAGTTCATAAACCTTCTATTGATATAATCAATGATTATAATAGATGATGATGATGGATTATATCTTCTAAAAGAGGTTCAGGCAGGCAGAAATAGCGATAAAGTATCACGGAAAAGATAGAGAGGGAGGAGGGATGAGTTGAAATATAAAAAGAAGAAAAATTCAAAGAAAGCCAGTGTTGGTGAAAAAATGATAAAAGGGGAAAGGATGGCACGGGGATCATATATTCGCATATATATTAAATATCTAAGTGCACATTTTTTTTTCACATCTGATAACAACCGTACATTTCTAACTGAATTTAGACTTCCATGTAAACAAATTATTCTGAACATTAAAATCTTATCAAAGTTTGTATTGTTTCCAAATATAAATAAATATTAATATGTTTTTTTCCTTAAGATTCAATGAGACTATGAATTCTGTAAAGCTTTTAAAAATAAAGCAAGACTCCATAATAAACGGGACTTACAGAAAATACCATCGAAACAGATCCTATTTCAATTTGGTAAAATGATATCTTAGCATAACTATCATAATAATACACGGTTAAGCTATTGAATACTTTCGACAAATTATTTAAAGATGATTCTGGTTACCGTAATAAAATTATTATAAAAAATAAAACAGATAATAAAGGCCAACTTTACGTGATCCTTGTCCTTGGATTCAATATGTATCACAAATGCCACCCCCGCTTGTTTATCAACAAAAACACTTCACTCTATATTTTAAGACTTAAATAATTGGTTATTTTAAAATTTGGTGACACCTTGGTAAATCGGAAAAATAATTTATTTAATTATAAAGGAAAACGTTTTACATAATAATAATTTTAATGTTTTTGAGCAATCACGTAAAACAATTTAGGGCAGTAACAACAACAAAGATATAAATGAAAAGAACATTTCTAACAAGAAAAATGATAAATTTCAACTAATAGTCATTCACTAATTTAACTAGTTTTTTTTTAAGTTGTAAAGAATGACCCTTTTATTAACGTTCTGAATGGATTATTGTTTACATATAAGCCATATTCCCTAGTCATCAATGAATTTTATTGTTTCTTCAAGAACAAGTACAAAAAAATTCCTTCTGCAAAGAATAGCTTCTGTATATTTTTGTAGTATGACCTCCCAGACTTCAACATTCCAAATGACAACAAAGAGCGACAAGAGAAATATTGTTCTTTCACTAGTGGCATCACAATTACTTTTTTGTTCTGTCAAAGCGTAGAAACAACTGCATAAAATAAACAACAATAAAAAAATATTTTCAATGAATTGGTCATCTCTTTTGAATACATTTGGTTTAGCAATATCATATTAGTTTAATCGTTCTCCTATCCAATTTAACGTTTTAAGAATGTAATAACTAATACATAAATGTATGCAATACAAGCGATGTATGACTTTAAAATTTTTAACAATTAGAAATTAAATATGGTTACCTGCTGAAAAGTGGATGCCACAAGTGTGTAGGTTGGTCGTTAAATCTAGATCCTGGCGGAGGAAACGGAGGATCGTCGATTTTGAGAAACTTAGGCCTGAGGTTGGGATCGATTAGGTGATCCCTGACTTTGAGTTTAGGCCTTATCTGGGGATGTTGCAGAGGCAGGGACGGGGTCGGTTGCTGTTGCTGAGCTGTGCTCGTATTAGGCAGCTTGACGTCTTGGTGGAGTTGGTGGGCTACGGACTGGTCGGCGAGAGTCGTAACGATAGCTGGAGGGTCGTGGTGTTGAACCCTACTGGCCTCGCTTGTCTGTGGTATCGTCCAATCGTGTCTGAAATGGTACTGCGACCTGGCGGTCCTCGGCCGCCTCTGTTGATGTTGGTGGTGATGATGTTGCGTTTGATGATGATGGGTATGTTGTGTTGTCGTGTTGGGAACGTCGACTCTAGGTGGGACGAAAGGCGGAATGGGTGGAGCGGTCGGCCTTAACTGTTGAGGGACTCCATAACCCAAGGGCTGAGTCATTTTGTACAAATCGTAGTTCTTCGGTACAGTGGCGGCCTGAGGAAGCTGTGGTGACGTTTTCTGGCCGTAGTGCCAGTGCTGCATAACCGCAGCGTGTTGCTGATTCGTATAATCGTAATTCGGTGGGTGCTGTTGTCTCGTGTGCTGCTGTTGCCACGGGTAGTTATAGCTCATCATGAGCGCAAGTAGCTCCTGCGGATTTGTAGTCCGATTGATATCCAGCTGGCTCAGATAAGGAAGCCAAAGCATTTGATTAAGCACAGCGGGATCCAAGCCGTTTTTCTCCGAGCCCAATTGGGACTGGAGCATCTGGGCCTGCTGGTACAGCTTTCCGTCAGGGTCTTTTCCAACCCCGTACTGAAGAAGGTACTGCAAGTGGGCCAATGAGACGACGAGGAAATCGGCGTCTATGACAGGTACTTTTAACTGATGTGATTGTATTAGCAGCTTGGGAATCTCTTTGGCGGGATTCGCAATTAGCGCCTGTAACCTTTCCCTCGGAACTAATAAAGGATCTGGAACTGAAACGTCTGGGTCATTCAAAATTTCTTTTAGTTGGGCCAGTGGATCGTTTTTGTCATCCGTCGTCTTTAAAAGCTCGAGCAATTTTGAATCGTGCAGTTTGTCATTTTTTATCTTTTTTTGTGGGATCTTGTTGGCGGGAGTTCTCACGGGTTCCTCGAATTTGCAGGGAGGCTGAGGAGGTGGAGGCGTGGGATCGAGTTTAGGAGGAGGCTTGGGGATGCCCAAATTCAGAGGCTCCTCTTGGACGGGTGTCGAGCATTCTTTCACTATGCTCTGAGGCTTTACTACACTGATGGTGGCGTTCTTTTTCGGAGATGATTGATGCGCCGGTTGGGCGACTGGATCTTCTTTGGTTTGTGGAGCTTTCGAATGGTGAATTGTCGTTCCCTCCGGCAGCTTCCACAATATATCAAGTCCTTCCAGCTCGCAAGCATTGAGCGGGGCCCCTTCGTCGCCTTTTAATACTTCCGCGTTCGCATTTTCCTGCATGACCAGATTCATTGGCGAATCTTCAGAGTGCCTCTTTGTTTCCAACTGGTCTGTCTCTGGGATGGTCTTCTCTTCGTCGGCCTTAACCGGCTCGGCTTCCCCCGGTGAAGGTACGAAGGTGTAAATATCGCTCAGATCGTCTTTATGTACTGGTTCGTCGATCTTCAGTCTTTCGGACATAATACCATGGCACATTTCCTCCAGCTCGTCCATAAGGGCCGAGCAGTTACTGACCAAATGGTCCTGAGGGACATCAACAGGTTTTTGGGCATCGGGAGTACTCGTCTGGTTCACAACGTTATTTATGTCGGACTCGTGAAGCTCGTTCAGCAGGAATTCGAACCTCTTATCTACGCTGTCTTCTGTATCTCGACAAAAATTCTCTTCGATGCAAGGAGACCTCACATCAGGCTGAAAATCGTTGTGATTCTCATCGACGTTAGGTTCATTGACGTCTTCTCCACATTTAAACTTGTCTTCTTCAGTTTCGGGTTCTTCCACCTCTTTCTTTGCTATTAACAGTTCTTCTTTTGCTTCTGGCTCTTCATCAGTGCAGAGATCAACAATGGCCACCGGAGTCTGGTCCACGATATAAGGGACTTCTTCAACGTCGCTATCCGAATCGGTGTGTTTACTGATTTCCGGAACTTCAGATTCGACGTTTCCATTCGTGATGGGCGGGCTTTCAGGCCCAGGGTAGGGTTCCGCAGTATCAAGCGTTTCGCAGATTACTCCGTTTTCTTCCTTTCCGACCGCTTGATCGTCTTCTTCGACGACGTCGGTGGGAGACTTGGAACCTTTTTTGACTAGCATGTCCCACGAAGACCACTGTTTGTTAGGCTCCGTCCTGGGTATCGCCCTCCAGCCGCCCGGCGTCTTCGTCAGTTTGATCCTGTTCCATCTGTCGTAATCCTCACAGACAACCGACACGATCGTGTTGTTCGTGTCGTTGTGCGTACGGAGAAAGATCGGGTTGATTTTCGAAGTAGGCTCCTCGTACTCTACGTGGTACTTCTTTTTCTTTTTATGCTTTTTGGAACCGGTCGAACAGCTAGAAGACTCTGTCGAACAAGAGACGGATCTCTTCCTCTTCTCCTTCTTTTTCTTTTTTTTCTTCTTCTTGCACAGTTCGGGGTCTGCGACCCTCGCGAAAACGGGCTCCTCAGACGAATCCATGTCTTTCACCGGCTCATTGGCACCTCGGCTCACACGCATCGCTGTCATCACAAACTTAAGTCACATCACTGACACTAACCAACAGCACATAGAAAACCATTAGAACTCTCTCGAGGGCACAGATCACTCGTGGCAATATCGCGATATCCAAACGGAATTCGAACAACGACGAATCACTCTCGAAAGCAAGTCGCCGACTGATCCTCTCTACTTACTAGCACATCGCTGTCGCCCGGCTTTGCCCGATCCCGGCCGGCGATGTACGATCCGGTTTCCTTGGTGAACCGACGGTGGGGTAAGGACTTTGACCGCCGAAGGGCGTGGCTTTTCTCCCACCAACAACCAACACCAAATACATTAGCAGAATGCATCTCTGCTCTTTCTTCTCTATTCTCTTCTACTATTTTCTTCTTTTCCACTCTCGCTACTGCCCTTGGACTCGAAGAACGGCTCAAGGTTACTCAGACACTAGCTGAATACGTACTCTACTTTCTATTTATTCTAAATATTCTCAATGATTCCTCTAGAGTCTAGGTCATCCGAATTTATTTATTGTCCAAAAATTTATTATTTGTATTTTGTTAAGATTTCTTTCATTTTACCATTCTATGACGGCAATATTTTGTGTATACTGTTGAGATAATTGGACTTATTTTTGTCTGAAATCTATTTTGTATATCCTCACTTTCTTCCACGAAAGGACTAAAGCTTTATTCACATATCTTTTATTCATCAAACGCTTCCGTTGTCACTTTTTCAAGTTTAAATTTAGTGTTTCTGTTTGTCAAATAATTTTTCACAACTCCTTTTCCATTTATTTTGAGGAAATAGTTAATAATACAAAATATGATCGCGGCTTATTTTGATAGATGTTATTTAGAGGGCGTTCGTGCCAGTGGTGGCTCGTCAAGTTTGGAGATTTTCCCTGGAAGACAAACAATACTCTAGCCGACGACGAACTTATAATTACTTACTGCAACTTGCCAAGTTATAATCGATACTAATCCGGTAATAATAATACAGTCCTGTCGAATAAGTGCCATAATAGGCAATTGTACTTTTCCCCCTTTATGAACTGCTCAAAAATGAATAGGGATATTTGTAATTTATTCTTATTCTGTCAATCTTAATTAAATTAACCGATATATTCTTGTCATTTGGAATATATTCGCCAGTGTCTCACCCTGCCTACAATCTAGACCAACCTACTAAAATGGCAAAACGCATAAATGAATTATACGAAAACCAAGATATCGAGAAATACTACACCAAAAGTAATAATTTAGTTCGATCTTACTAATTTTAGTATGCCTCTAAGCAGATAGTTAAATTTGGCTAAAACACATGCAAATTGTGCATAAAAATGCTTAAAAAATCCTGGTTTGTTTATGCTCGATGTTTTGGTCTGGTTGATTTATGCCAGAAGATCTCCATGCTCATACCCTGATCCTCGAACATAGTAAAACATGATGAACTTTTCTAATGATCCGATCATCTTACTCTCCCATTCCTTGCGAATTTGTCTATAGATGCATTTGCCACTTAAATGTGTGTTTGTGTTGATAACTCATCCAGCTTACAGACCTGACATAAATCATGCAAAGAGACCTGCTATATACAGTGGGTTTGCCCCTGAGTCGGCATCTCAACTTGTTTGTATCTCTGACAGATTAGAATGATCGAAAATAATAGTACGAAATAATTATTATGCAAAACAACTAGATACAATAGAAATCTATTTCTTCCAAAAATCGGATCTATATACATAAAATCGCCCTATATGAAGCAAAGAAATGACTTTCTTTTTATAGAGCAAAGCGCGGTTTCAGCCCAATGTAGATGTCCGTGGGTAAACCGCGTATGTCCTATTCTGAATCGCTAAGAATTTTCCTTTTTCTTATCCTCTGAAGCCCTCAAAAGCCTACTTTGCCACATAAGAAGGCCGGTCCGAATTGGCTTATTTTTGAGAATACATCAAAAATATAAATCGTTCAATACTTCAACCAATAATAGCTGGAATGTTTGGCCGTATAGTGGGTTTGTATTTAAATTCCATATATTGTATAGTTTAGTAGTTGATTTTTTGGTCAGCAATTTAATTTTTTTTCTTTGAAAAGCGGGTTTCAGGTCGCCTTTTAATCTAAATTTTCATAAATTTTCCTCAACGAAAAAAGTCCATCGGAAACTGGGCGAGGTTTTTTTTTGTTTTCTTTTCCGCCGTATATTTGTATTAAGGGCACTAACGGGGGTTCATTACGGCATCCCTCCGGGCGCCCTTCGAGGGTGGCGTCCGGGCCTTTATGGAGATGTTTTGCCCTGGGCAGAACTGCAAATATTCTAAACGAGTGGACATCGAATAGAAAAAATTCTTTTTTAGAACTCCTCTGTAGACGTTTCTACAAAATTTAATAGTCAATTTAAAAAGTAAGACATTAGCTCATTTATCCAAAGTTGAAAATGTGATATTAAAAAAATTAAAACATGTATTTGGCACGCTTATGGACTTAAAGTGTCATTCATGTAGACGTTAATTGTACCTATAATATATAATATATGAACATTACTCAGAAACATATAAATAAATAATATTGAGAAGACGAGGGCTTTGTTGTTACAATATAATTTGTATAACCAGAAATTTGATGAAATTATAAATATTTAATTTTGGAGGTTATTGAAAATAGCACAAATTCATTTAAAATTTCCTTCCATACAAATTAATAATATTCACTGTCAAATGAGCTGCATAAAATTTAAAAAGTAAATAGTTTAATAGTCAATATACACACATCGACAAAGGACGTTGACACGTACAAACAAGCAAACCCAACTTGATACTATATCGATTTTTCTTTTCGTTATACTTCCTACTGACGTTTCGTTTATTCTTGTTCTTCTTTTCTTTGCCCACTTCTGATGTAAAATAGACTGATTTGAAATTTATTGCCAATTTCAGTTAGTTTAGCAAAGGCTTGTTTAAAAAAAACCACATTTCTCTTTGTTTTCAATTGTTTGGCTGAAATTGAAACAAAGCAGGATATTTTGTAATACCAAAGTGGTTAAACTGTTAAATTCATGGGACATTCTCATAGTGTTTCATTTTCAAATCTTTGGGAGAATCTTACCATTTTCATATTGTAGATACAATCTAGGAAAGAAAAATGGGCTGGGAACTTGGACACAGTTTATATTTGTGTACATTGTTGTGATAATGAAACATTTACAAATAAACTATATAACAAAACATATGCGTTCTTAAATGGGTTTATCCTTAAAGACATATTGTTTGTAGATAGTTTGATTATATGGGATTCAGATATAATTAGTTGGATAAAGAAGATAAACAAAATTTCTTATAGGCTTTTTATACTTTTTTTACAACAAAAGATTATTACAAATCCTTATTGTATCACCACCAAAAATGTATAATCTAAAACGTTGAATAAACAGAATGACAAAATGTCTTATCGAAAATAGCCAAAATTCAACCAAGAACAAAGGAAAAGAGTCCCTAATAAAGAAACGTATCTCGTCAACGGAGTGGAAACGTAAGACAGGGTCAATGCCGCCAGGTAATTATCTATAGTTGTTTTTTCCTTAACGATTTGACGTCAATTTTCACTCGGCAGTATCACGGTCGAACGTTGCAACCGTCGTGCAAGTGCGTAATTTCGTTGACTCTTTTACGTACCATGTGTTAGTTATATATGATAAAAGTGTTCATAAAAATAAATAATAATAATTATAGAATTATGAAATTATTTCCATCATGACACTTTTAAGTCGGAACTGTGTATTCCCAAAAAAACTGTGTTGTCAAAGTTAAAGCCGAAAGTTTTTGTGAAGCGAGTATGCCCAAGGAACTGGCAGTTTCGACACTGTGAACTGTCTTGGTTAAAAGTGCCAGGGTAAAAGCGAGCCATATCGTAAATTCTATTAAGGTCCGGCTTAGTTTATAATGAAACTATTTACCAAATAATCGGTAAGAAGGAAATAGTTTAGATTGAAAAAGAAACCATCCAAAATGGGGCGAAAGAAATATTCAAATTCTAACATAGTTACTATGTTATATGCATTAAATTATAGAAGGTTTTTTTTTTACAAAAGTGTGCTGTTTCGGATCTGATTTAATCAGGGATCTTACTGTAAATTTAAACCCTTAAACACGATCTCCTCAAAGTTGCGATTTTGTACTTAACCCACTTTTTACCACAGCCGTAGAAATGTGTTTTTCTGGTATTAGGAGAAAGAACCACGGATTTACACACACGTTTAACTCGATTAGCCCAGTTTACGAGATTACTCAACGGATACTTAAGAGAAAAATGTTCTAGATGAAAATTCAAAGTCAATTCAAAGCATAAAATTTAAAATAATCTTCCGCACAATTATAAGTTTTCATAAAGGAAGAAACATTTCGTGATGAAGAATTAAAGAAAGTGATTAAAATAAAATTCATCCAACCAAGATCAAGTTTAAATAGAAAATAAATGCGAAGGTCCTAAGATTAAAGGGCACTAGCAACTGTCTGGGTAAAAGTGCCGATGTCTGAGTCTCGTAAACTGTTAGTTTATAATGGAAGTGTACACAAAAGAATTGGAAAGGCGGAAACAGGTTAGATTGATAAAAGAAAGATCCAAACGTGGTCAAATCCTCAAATAATTTTTTTTAAAAAGAATGTATGTTGTTTCAGATCTGACATAATTTTGAGTCTTTTAACTGCAGTGCTTTTAATTGTAAATTTAAACTTTAATGAACGATTCCTCAATGTTGCGATTCTGGACTTAACCCACTTATCTCTGCAACCACAGAAATATGTTATTGCAGAATTAAGCGTAACAAAAACAAATTTACACACACATTTACCACGATTAGCACAGCTTATGAGAATAATCAAACGTATGAAAGGCTATATTTTCTAGGAGAAAAAAATACAGGAAAAACTTGGACACCAATTCAAATCATAAAATATAAACTAATCTACAGTACGATTATACATTCACAGCAGTTGTATTGTGTTAAATGTGTTAATTTTCTATTAAGAACGAATATTGACAAAACGACTTTTCGAGATTTTCATATACTAAATGCTAAATAATATAATTTAATATAATATAATTTAGAGTAGTTATTCAGAAATCGTGAGATGCGGTCTGGTGTGATATAGGTTTCAGAAAAACATTTTCTTTATCGTGCCAACGTTTCGATCTTTATTGAGATCATCTTCAGGGCTCAAA